GGACCCCTTGTCTTACTGAGATTTCTTGTTTAGAGATCTCACCCCACGTTTGGGGACGCTTATTTCAGGTTCAGGTAACTTGGGGGTTGATGCCTCTGGTGGCAGGAGGCCGGAGCTTAGTTGATTATATATGTTGTATGCTGACATGACTGTGTATTGGATGTTGTTTATGTTTTCTGTCATTATTATGATATTTGAATTGAGACTATGTTGGGCTTGTTGCCTTAATTGGTGAGCATGAGGTTTGTCTATGCCGTTTTGATGTTAGTACTTTTTAGCTTGAGTTGTATAAACTATCAGGGTTGTCCGGGCTACGTGTTGTAGATCTGTTACTTAGATACACACAGATATTTATATTATGAGGTATTTCAGTTAGCTGTCTTTTGCAATTTACATACAGGCGATGTTTTTATGAAAATGATTAAGTAATCAACTTGGCTAAGTATAATGACGTCATAATTGAAAAGAAAAAGATATTCTGCATTTTTAAATTAAGCGTGGCTTAATACGATGATATGATAACAAACCGGGTTAACACGGGGTGTTACAACCAGCATGGCAGAGATTACATTGTTGTTGCTGCAGCAAGGTCAGACACCCATGGCACCACCCAAGGAGAGTTAACCCGGCTCACTCTTCCATGTGAGCAAGGCATCTTCTCCCCCTGTAAATACCACTTCATCACCGGGCAAGGGGATCCATCTTATGTGTCGTTACTCTTTCATTTTCTCCAAGCCCTCGTTATCACCCCCAACTTATTGATATAGACCTTATACTTGGGACATCACCGTTTAACTTGGTCTCTACCTCTATTATCGACAACACCTATACAGTGATTTACATCCTATCCAAGGAAACATATTGGGCTTGCAACTTTCAACGGTACAGGGTCCTTCGGAGAAATACTAGTGATGACCTATTAATAGTTAGGTCAACTTAAGAAGTTATTATAGCTCCTTCGACAATCCCCAATCCTATTCGAACTCAATTTGGAACTGGGAGGGACCTGAATTGATAAAAATATTTGTATGGCAGTTAATGGGACAGAATCTGCTTACAAATAGTAGAAGATACCATAGACACATGTCAGCCAACAATTTGTGTCCTAGATGCCAAGAAAAAGAATATGGGCAGGGAATGTCACTGGTTAAAGGAGATTTGGAAAAGACTTGTCCATCCTAGTGTTTGGAATGGCTTCCTTAATGCAAATCTCTAAGATTGGCGGTCTTACAACCTGAAACTGAGAGGGCAGAGAGTTTCCATACAAGACTGGCATTCCCTCCTTAGAATAACTTGTTCGATGATTTGGAGTGATAGAAATAACTTTATTTTTCATAACTAGAGGCTTATCAAAAGTGCAAACATCTACAAAAATAATTTTTCTGATGCATGGAAGCTTCTGCATTAACCTGTTGGAAATTTCCTATGATAGGATGGTTAAAGTTGAATGTGGATCAATCCAGTGGCGGAGCCAGGAAAAAGACCCCGCTAGTGCAAAAAAAAATCCAACTAGGTAAAATCCAGTTAGTGTCAATGTTATATTATTTTTAAAAACCTAACCAATACCGAGGCTATACCATAATTTTTAAAGAAAATATGTAGCACTTTTTAAATTCAGCAAGTGGATTGCAAGTCGATCTAGTGCTTAAGGAGGTACTCGTACAAGGTGTGTTGGAGTCTTTAGAGATGATAAGGGCAATTGGATCTTGGGATTCTCTGAGAATTTCGGAAGAGGGAATTCAGTTTTGGCGGAGCTTTGTATATTCGTGTAGAATTCATTTATTGATAAGGGCTATAGTATGCAATATCTGCTTTACTTTTTAGTTCATTGTATAAGAGACTTCTTCAATTGAGCCTGGAGAATTCAGATTTCTCACACTTATAGAGAAGGAAATGGTGTAGCCGATGCACTTGCCACACATGCTCACCTTTTGGGGTGGGGAATGTAAGAACCCGCACTGTTAATTAAGGAAGTTAATTAATTAATTATGAGAAATTAGGAAATAATTCCATAATTGAACCTAATAATTATTATGAGGCTTAGATAATTATAGTAAGTGTGTAAGAATGCTGAAAGTCGCTTTTCGGACGAAAAGTGCAGATACCGGTTCTGCTACTCGGTATAAATGCGTACCGATGAAGTATCCCGGAAAATTATAAAAAGTGTGTATATGTCACTAGAATAATATATAGGACTTGTAAAACAAGTTTCAAGTTAAAATAATGAGAACCGGTGCCAGAACTGATACTAGCTATGGAAAAGCGCGTACCGGAAAGGTGCTGCGAAAAATATAATAAAAATATGATAAATCTTATAAAATTGAGTAGGTTCAGAATCCTAAGTTTGGGATTAAAATGCTAAGCATAGAATTTAGCGCTAATACAGTGCGATTAAGACTTTAGTGGCTATATATAGCCTTGGCACATGATCCTAGGTTTATTTTGAGCCTCCAGCGTTGGAATTTCTGAGTGGGAGAGACCAGCCACCTTGCTACTCCCTTTCTTCTTCATTTTCTCACCAAAGACACCACCTTTGATCATGGTTTCTTCTCTAGATAAACATATCTTGGTGTGAGCTATCTTGTGTTAGTGAGAGGGCCTTGTTTCTGAGTTCTTGCTACTGCCTTGGTGGGTTCTAGTTGCTGTCTTGGTAGTGGTGTTGTGAGAGCCTTTGGTGATGACTCTTTGAGCTTCAAGGAACCATCCTTGGGTGCAAAGACCCAACCTTGGGGTGCCATTTTCGTGTGCTTGGTGAAGTCTGACTGTGGGAGCTTTGAGTGAGCTCCAAGAGCAGCCTTTGCTTATGTTTTGAGCCTTGGGTAAGTTGTTCAACCTTTGATCATGAGTTTTAACGATTAAAAGAGATGTCTTGGCATGTTTAATGAATTAAACAAGTAACCACCCAGTATATGAACCTAAAGAAGTGTAAAAATGTATGCTTGGACGTTGGAATGGGTTAAAAACCCAACCTTTGGAAGGGTATCTCACGAAATGCAGAACTGTATTCTATCCCGAAATATCTGGATATTGATATCCGAATATGGGGATCTGAATATCCGCATATTGATATCCGGATATTGGCAGAGAGATATCCAGATATGCCCCCGACAAATATCCGGATATTCTGGGTTTTCGTGAACAATGAAGGTACTGTTCATACAGAATGCTATTTTGGGTTTGTGGACCTTAGATTGATGAAGTTGAACTTCTGTAATAATTAAACTAAGTCAGAATCAAGTGATTAAGGGCTTGAGGCTTTGTGAGGAGCCTAAAGACGTAAAACGTAAAAGAGAAGCGTTATCTTTATGTTTATGTGTATGAGCTATGTTTATTGATATGATTGCTGGTCCAAATCAGATCGTGATTCTGCTGTGTTTGGACTTTGAGCATTGGTTGGACTCTTGGCTTGGATTGTTAGGTTGCAAGGTAAGCTTTCGTGTTCTCGGTTTAGCCATTGTTGGTCCAACCATGTCCCATGGGGGTATGGTTATATGCATGATGTTGTTTTCATGATATATTGATTTGTCGAAATGCTGTTGAGCTGTTATATGCGAGTGCCTTTATGATATGCATGTGGTGTTCCACCTATACGGTAAGCCTGAGTATGTGGTACATATAAGAGGGTGAGGCTGTGGGTGAGGTGCAAGCAATGTTCCTTGTACTAACTGTAGGTAATAGACATATTCCTGCATTTCTCTGGCCAGTAGAATAGTTAAAACACACATGGCATGAATATCTGTTGCACTGCATAGTTTTGGAACTTATACTGTTAAATGCTTTTGAACTTATATTGCTCGTGTAAGTGAGCTTGGGGTGGAAGATCCTTAAGGACCCCTTGTCTTACTGAGATTTCTTTTTAGAGATCTCACCCTACGTTTGGGGCACATATTTCAGATTCAGGTAATGCGGGGGTTGAGCCCTCAAGCGGCAGGAGGCCGGAGCTTAGCTGATATTGTTGTTTATATGATGATTATGCTTGGATGTTGGATTATGCTTGTTGCTACTTGTTGTTAGCTTTATTATTATATTGCTATTGTTGTTGAGACCTTGTTAGGCTATGTTGCCTTGTTTGGTGAGCATGGGGATTGTCCATGCCACTTTGACTTGACTTTATGATTAGTTGTTTCTAGTTGTAATTAGAAATGTATCAGGATATTGTCCGGACTACGTGTTGTAGATCCGTGACTTAGATACTCACATCTATGTTATGAGGTATTTCAGTTAGTTGTCTTTTGCAATTCACATACAGGCGATGTTTTATGAAATGAATTAAGTAATTCAACTTGGCTAATGATAATGACTTCATAATTGAACAGAAAAAGATATTCCACATTTTTAAATTAAGCGTGGCTTAATACGATGATATGATAACAACCGGATATATACGGGGTGTTACAGGGAACACTTATTTTCATAGATCCTCCTAGTTATTACACGGAGAAAATTGACTAGGATATTGGAGCTATTAGTTGGCCCGTTTGCTAATGTTTGAGTAGTTTTGCTTTGTCTGTTATGTTCATTATGCATAAAAAAAGATATAAAATGTTTAACCCTTCGGAGACGAGTTCTTCTAAATAGGGAGAACGATGCATAATACATAAGGATATTTAAGGATTATTATCTTATTTAGGAATTATTATTTTATTTTAAGAAAAATTATAATTTCCTTTTAATGAAGAATCATTATTGTTTTTAATAATTTTATATAAAATAGCCTACATACATTTTTACCCCATAATTTTCACTTACTGCACTTTTTACCTCAAAAGTGACCCTAATTTATTTAATTAGATATTTTACCTAATTTAACCCACTAATACAAGATTAATTGCCTAATTACATGCAATTAATTAAATCACATGGTGAGGGATATTATAGTCACATTATCTTTTAGCGATTTTGTCTGCAAAATCAAAAACATACTTGTCCTTAAACTCAGGATTTTGCCGGAGAAGCTCGTTCTCCCACTCCCAAGTGGACTCTTCAGGCGTCCTTCCTTTTCATTGGACTTTGTCCATAAGAATGAATTTATTCCTCAGCCTCTTCTCATCTCTTTCGAGTATCCTCAGTGGCCCAATGGGAGTTTTCAAATTTTCCTGAATCTCAACATCATTAGGTTGAACCACATGAGAAGGATCAGCTACATACTTTCTCAACTAAGAAACATGGAATACATCGTGTAAATTCGATAATTGAGGAGGCAAGGCAAGCTGGTAGGCAACCGGTCCTATCCTATGTAGAATTTGGTACGGTCCAATAAATCTTGGACTCAGCTTCCTCACACCTAGGGCTCGTCCAACACCCGTAACCGGTGATAACTTTAAAAACACATGATCTCCCTCCTCAAAATCTAGAGGCCAATGCTTGAGATCATAATAACTCTTTTGGCGATCTTGAGCCTTTTTTAGATGATCCCTAATCATTTTAATCTGCTCAGTGGTCTCCTGAGCAGAATTAGATCCAAATAGCTCTGTGTCCCCAACTTTTGACCAGCAAGTAGGTGTCCTACACCTGCGACAATACAAGGCCTTGTAGGGAGCCATACCCAGACTAGCATGGAAACTATTATTGTATGAAAACTCAACCAGCAGGAGATATCTGTCCCATGTAGTACCCTGCTCCAGGGTGCAAGCCCTCCAACGTCTGAATGGTCCTCTCAGTCTGACAATTCGTCTGTGGATGATAGGCAGTGCTCAGTCTCAACAGAGTGCCAAGAGCCTCCTGCAATGCTCCCCAGAAGCGAGAAGTGAACTTGGGTCCCAATCGCTAACAATGCTCTCAGGCACCCCATGAAGCCTCACAATCTCCTTCACATAGAGCCTAGCTAATCTCTCAGCAAAAAATCTACCCAAACTGGCAAAAAGTGTACGGACTTTGTCAATCTATCCAAAATTACCCATATAGAATCATAACTAGCCTGTGTTCGCGGCGAACCTACAACAAAATCCTTGGAGATACTCTCCCATTTCCATTCAGGAACATCCAGAGGTTGCAACATACCAGAAGGCTTTTGATGCTCAATCTTGACCTTCTGACATATGAGACACTTAGAGACGAATTCCGCAATATCTTTCTTCATACCAGGCCACCAAAAATTAATCTTTAGGTCCTGATACATCTTTGTAGCTCCTGGATAAACAGTGAATTGACCCTTATGGGCCTCTGTCATCACTTCTTTCGCCAACTGCCTAGGTACAACAATACGACCTTGATATAATAGTATACCCTGCTCATTACAAGATACACCACTCTGACCTTTCAGTCGTTTAGCACTTTCATTTTAAAGTTGAGCTTCTTTAATTTTGGTCAGCATTTCGTTTTCAATTCTTGTAATTTCTATATCACAAATTCTGCCTGGAAAAACCTCAGATAGTTTCATGTCTCTGAACTTCTCAATCACATCATAATCTCTAATCATCATGCTCGCTACACTCACAGATTTTCAGCTCAATGCATCAGCTAAAACATTAGCCTTGCCGAGATGATATTTCACTTCGAAGTCGTAGTCCTTTAGGAACTCATTCCACCATCGTTGTCTCATATTCAACTCCTTTTAATCAAACAAGTACTTCAAGCTCTTAGGATCACTAAATTTGGCAAACTTCATTCCATACAAGAAATGCCTCCATTGTTTCAACCCAAAAATGATCGCAGCAAGCTCCAAGTCGTGACTCAGATAGTTTTCGTCATGCGGTTTCAGCTGCCTCGATGCATATGCCACTACTCGCTTATCTTGCATCAACACATATCCCAATCTATTCTTTGAAGCATCGTTGTATAATTCAAATTCATCTTCTGGATCAAGAAGTACTAACACCGGAACAGTTGTTAATTTCTCCTTAAGATTCTGGATACATTCCTCACATTCATGCGTCCAAATAAATGGAGTATCCTTCCGAGTTAAGCGGGTTAATGGCAAAACCATTGTAGAAAACTCCTTGATAAATCTCCAACTGGCCAATCTCAAGAAACTCCTTACTTCAGTTACGGTCTTGGGTCTCTCCCAATCAATAATCGCGTTTATCTTGCTACGTTCAACTGTCACTCTATCAGCTGAAATAACGTGACCCAAGAATTGCACTTGAGAAAGTCAAAATTCACATTTTGAAGGCTTTGCATACAACTGTTTCTCTCTAAGAATTTGTAACACTGTTCTTAAGTGATTCACATGCTTTTCCTTACTCTTGGAATATATTAGGATATCATCAATAAACACAATCACGAATTGATCTAGAAACTGCTTAAATATGCGATTCATATAATCCATAAACACCACCGGAGCATTAGAGAGTCCAAACGGAATTACTTGGTACTCATAATGTCTATATCTAGATCAGAAAGCAGTCTTCGGAATATCTTCCTGCTTAATTTGGATATGATGATAGCCTGACCTCAGATCAATTTTTGAAAAGACACAAGCATCACTCAATCGATCAAGCAATTCATCTACGCGAGGGAGAGGATACTTGTTCTTAATAGTAACCTTATTCAACTGACGGTAATAAGTGCATAATCTCATGCTATCATCCTTCTTCTTGACAAGTATAACTGGTGCTCCCCATGGGGACACACTTGGCCTGATAAACTGCTTAGCCAAAAGCTCTTCAATATGCTTCTTTAACTCGGCTAATTCCGGTGGTGACATCCGATATGGAGCCAAGGAAATAGGCCCCACACCCGGCAGTAAATCAATCGTGAACTCAATCTCTCTAGGAGGTGAGAGTTGCGGAATCTCATCTGAAAACACATCCACAAACTCCTTTACCACGGGAACAGTGTCGATCTCCTCATGACTTCCACCAACTAAACCCCCCACAAGGACATATCCAATGCCCCAGCCCTCAAAGCCTTTCTAATTTGCAAAACAGACAGATATGAGGAAGAACTAGTAGCAGAATCATCAGCAGAAAGCACAATTCTTTTTTCACAGCAGTCTATCATAGCACAATTCTTTGATAATCAGTCCATTCCTAAGATAACTTGAAGACTGATCATAGGCAAACAAATAAAATCCAGCACGTAATCTCGGCCTTTATATTTAAATTCAACATCCTTGCATAAAACTGACGTATAACATTTCTCTCCAATAGCAGTCACCATTTTCATTGGAGGAGAAATTTCGTATATATGTAAATTTAGCCCAAATGCTATAAAATCATACATATAGGAGTGTGTAGCTCCTGAGTCAAACAAGATTTCAATATCCATATTATTGATATAAATTGTACCTTTCACATGGTTTGAAGCCTTTTCTGATTGCTGACGGTCCATGGTGTATACTCTACCAACAATCTGGGACTCTATCATTGGTTGAATGATAGCGACTCGGCAAGTGCACCGATCGTGAAAGTAATAAAATGTACTGAGTACGAGATCGTTCCCACGAGGATCAGAATTTCAAGCACTAGTTCACTAATTGTGTTTTAGTTGGACAATCAAAGGTTTGGTTTGAGAGAATGGTGAATTTAGATGAAGAGAATTGTTGTTCAAAGAACTTAAAATTAAAAACAATTAAGAACATGCAATTATGAAAATTCAAAATAAAAAGAATGAATGAGATGATGTTTGATTAAAATTTAAAACAAGCGTAGTTAAGGTTTCGACTTCCCCCAATATCCTCAATATGTTATGAATTAAAAAGCCAAGAATCTGTTTCTTAATATATTGCCAGTCAATTCTATCTGAGTTAATTACGGCTCAATTCCTTGTTACCATAAATCTATGTAATCTTGAAAGAACTCTAGTTCCCCGATTATTCCCCCAAGAAAACATGCATTAAGATCAAGAATTACAAGATTGCGTAATTACCCTATGTCTATTCCTATTCCTATTCCTAGATCACAAGGATTCCGATAAATTATCAAGTCAAGGTTCATGCACCAACATCCCTATTGTCATACAATTCCCCAAAATCATTCTATAAGGAACAAACTCATAAAAAGCATCAAAAACAGATAATTTATTCAATTATAAAAAGAACGGGATTTGGAGACAATTTAATTCATAAACATAAAGATTCAATTGGGTTCCATCTACCCTTAACTACATAAAAGACTACTCTAGCCTACTGAATTGAAAAGAAATAATAAAGAAAAGAGAACCCCAAGCCTCCATTGGTGTGATGTTGACTTGGTTTCTCAGTGTTCCAGCGCTCCGCAACAGGATTCCTCCTTTTAGCTTGGTGTAATGCTCTGGAATTGTGAATTGGTGAATGGGAATTGGTCTCAAGCTCCTTATTTATAACCATAAGAGTTGTATCCATCATTAAATCTCCTAATGAATCCATATCAGATTTGTATTTGATTTCATCTTTGTTTCCTTTTTACATGTAATATCTTTGAGATTTGGTTGATTAATTAGAGCTTCAAATCTTTGTTGTATCTTCCTCATATCTTCCCATTGTAGTTATATCTTATTTCAATTCAAGGTTTAGGTGTTTCCTCTTTATATCTTCATGGAATCTGTTGCATATCTTGATTAAATCTTTCCTGGAGTTGGCTTGACCATGTATGGACGTTTTGGCGCTCAAGAGCACGCCAAAACGTCCTCCTAGTGTATTGCTATCTGCCTCAGCACATTTTGGCGTCCATTAGAACGCCAAAACGTGTTTTGATTGTTTTCTAGGCGTTTTGGCGTGCTGTTGTGCGCCAAAACGTTCTCCTCCAGGGGCAATGGTGTTTTTCTTCCTTTTGTGCATTTAAACGTGCTTGATGGACGCCATAACGTCCTCCTTCAGCTGGTACACACTTGAAATCTTGTTTTCTTGGGACTTCAACTCAACTTGATGTCTTCTTTTGGTTCTAAAATGCCATAATATATGTTAAAAACCCTTGTAAATCAGTATTACGACAATATGTTAGCAAGATATTCAATTATTGTAACTTTACAGCATAAAACCCTAATTTCCATGCAATTCATAACATATATCAATCATAATTAAGCCTAAAAACATGGTAAACCAAAGGTTTATCATTGAACAACCGAAACAGGAACGACAACAGCCTCACCTGTCATAGTCCTTACTTCATTTTGAGGGTACTGGTTAGAGTAATGGCCAGATCTTCCACACTTGTAGTAAATAATTTCACCCGTGGCACACGGACCTCGATGCTCTTTTCCGCATCCTCTACACTTTGGAGGAGGTCCTCTATCAACAAAGTTTCTTTGGTTCCCGGGCTTCTTGAACCTATCCAACAAATTGTTCACATTCGGCTTCTTGCCCTTCATCTTTTTATTTTTCAATGAACTAGAGCCAGTTGCTCTACTGGTATCAGACACATGTGCCTCAGAAGGTTTCTTGTTTTTCGTCACACTATAAACTTCTTCTATTTTTCGACACTGATTCACGAACTTGCTAAACTCTCTAATGTCACAGTTTGACATCTTCCGAGTCATCTTCTTATTTAGACCCCATTGATACTTGGAGGTCATCTCGGCTGAAGTAGGTAAAGCTCTCCCGTAATTAGCATATTTCACCAATTCATTGAACTTGGCAAAATATTGGTCAATTGACATCGACCCCTGCTTCAAATTATTATACTCATTCTGCTTCCTTTCCCTAGCTTTCCTAGGGAAGTAATTGTTCAAAAACAAGGTCTTAAACAATTTTCAGGTGATTTCCTGGCCTTCAGCCTCCAAGGGTTGCACGGTGTTCGTCCACCAATCTTCGGCTTCACCCTCCAGCATGTACACCGAGTAAACCAACTTTAGTGCATCAGGGCATCTCATCGCCCTAAAAATCTTCTACATAGCCTGAAGCCATTTTGCAGCAATCAACGAGCCATAGCCTTCAGTGAAGGATGGAGGTTTTTGTTTTTGAAATGCGGTTAATCATCTTTCATCCGCATCTGGCCCACCATCATGTTCCACATGTGGTTATGAACCATGGTGTGATGACTAGCTCCATCAGTATGGTGACTAGCCTCACCATCATTGTTACCAGCTCCACCCTCTTTGTGGAGAGTATGTGGAGTAGGCATCACAGTTTGAGGAGTAGGAGTGGGTGGTCTATTCTCGTTTTTAGGACCCCTTAGTTTCCTCAACTCATTCATCATCGTTGTCATAGCATTCTGTGTATCCTCATTAATCTTTAACAATGTTTCATTAGCCTGGCGATTAATGGTTAACTCCCTTTGCATGGCTTCCAGAGTGGTCGCCACAAGATCAGACTATCCACCTGTGGCCCCACGACCACTTCGGGGTCTAACTAAAGCAGCCAAAACGGATCTGGCTGAGCATTGGCATTCGATGCCTCAGCGTTGTTTCGATTCCTCATCATGACACTACACATGTTACACAAAGAAATGAGCTGATCAGGATCACACTCTGTGATCACAGATGCAATAATCATAAAGAGTACCCAAAAAAACCACAAAGCATTAAACACCAAGCAAACATAACAAGAATCCACAAGTTTTCCTAAAAAACTGCTCTGATACCATTAAATATAACACTCCGTTCTAGAACCGGTTTGTTAACATTGCGTATGGTATTAAGCACAGTTACAATCACAACAATTGAATTAAAGTACGGATAAATTTTTTCCTTTTTATTTGTAACACCCCATTCTAGAACCGGTTTGTTAACATTACGTATGCCATTAAGCACAGTTACAATCACAACAATTGAATTAAAGTACGGATAAATTTTTTTCTTTTTATTTATAAACGTTTTTGTTTAAAATTTAATTACGTAATTAAAACAATTTCCATAATTATGATCATAACTTAAACTATATGTGGAACACCTAATGTAAGTTTTATTTAAACCATACGTTGCTACAATATTGTGCCAAGTAGTCCCCTTAGACCAACAAGGCTTAAAAACTCATTTTTATTGTTATTCAACACTAAACACCTCCACTTTTTAGTTACTTAAGAAATTTTATACTATTTATATGGTCCTCATCTTCCAATATGTTATATATCTCTTCGTTAGATACGCGTGGGTTCAAACTGTGCTCAATTCGGAGCACCGTAGCTCAAGTTCTGAATTTTCTAAGAAACGAGTGTTGAACCGACTGGCCTGGCGCGAATAGCGCCGGGAATGCATTTTTCCACTGTATGTTGGTGCGGTTAGCGCCACCACAGCGCTAATAGCGCCAAATTTCTGGAGATCACACCTAACCTTAGTATTTTACCGCTAACTGGAGTTATACTTATCCAATTGACGCAATAATCTTGGTCTCATTGGAAAGCTAAGAAAAATAACTATAACTTCCATTAAGACACAAGGTCCAAATTCATCATATAGGATATGAAAAATGGACAACAAGACATGATGTTCTTATGTTTACATCGATTCTCAACTCAAAGGGTTTTCTTTCACCTAATAGAGATTATACCATCCCTTCAAAACCTGATTCTTAGCTATTTCAAGACACACATTTATAAAAATAGGCATCCATGCCCTTCCATTATATATACAATAAGCACAATATTACATAATCTCTAAACTTCTTTATTACATAACTATGGGACTTAGCTACAAAACACTACGATCAAATTCTTGGCTCCCATCAACAAAAGAGACACCAAATGAGGAGAGCATAGGCTAAGTCCACCAAAATAAAGCATGACATACATATATCAAATGGCTTTCAATTACAAATCCTATACATAGGAACTACTACTGACATGCATAACCAAAATAGTGCAATATTCTCATGTATCAATCTATTCCAAGTATGGCCACTTACCACCAGAGGCTCCTGCAGCATCTGTACCAAAAAAGGGGTCCCACAACACAGGGTAAGATATACGAATACATCTCAGTAAACCAGGGGTCCTTGGAGCATTTCTCCACCCCATAGTTCACTCACAGTATAATAGCAATACTCAATAAATAATGCAGTAAATACATATCCAAACAGTGTGTAAAAAACATCTCCAGGAGTCATCCCTCGAGCTCTCATGCTATCCTAAGAATACTCAGATGCAAAATAGTCATACTGCCCAGCTAAACTACCAAGTATGAATTACGCATCGTCATGCAACATACAAACATAGGAAAACACCATCCTATGCCACACTCGGTACATACACATACGTATAACAAAGCATTAAACTACTTATTGCATTTACATACACTATCTGTAAGAACCCGCGCCGTTAATTTAGGAAATAAGTTAATTAATTATGTGATTAATGAGATAATTCCATAATTGAACCTAATGATTATGAGAAGGCTTAAATAATTATGGTAAGTGATTAATAATGCTGAAAGTCGCTTTTCTGACGAAAAGTGCAGATACTAGTTCTGCTCCTCGGTATAAATGCGTACCGATGAAGTATCCCGGAAAATTATAATAAGTATGAAAATATTCTTAGAATAATATATAGGACTGGTAAAACAAGTAAATTCACAGGTTGAAATATTCTTAAAATTAATAATGATGAAGTATCTCAGGTTGAAATAATTAGAATTAGTGCCAGAACTAATACTGGCTATGTAAAAGCGCGTATCGGAAAAGTGCTGCGAAAAATAAAATAAAAATATGACAAATCTTAGAAAAATGAGTAGGTTCACAATCCTAAGTTTGGGATTAAAATGCTAAGCGTAGCTATTAGCGCTAATACAATGCGATTAAAACTTAAGTGACCTATATAAGGCCTTGACACATGATCCTATGTCAGAATCCTTGTGCTCTACGTGAGTGTTGCTGAACCTTGCTGCTGCCTCCTCCTCCCTTGGTCACCTTTGCATGAGAAACCCTCCAAGACACCTTTTTTCTTTGATTTCTTCATCTCTAAACAAGTAAACACTTGGGTGTGAGCATTTATGAGTGTGAAAGGTGTCATTTTCTGAGTTGGTGGTGCTGCTCTTGAGTGTTTTTGGAGCTGACTTCACTGCTTGTGGGGAGAGAGCCTTTGTTCCTAGCTTGTGTGACTTCAAGGAGCCATTTTTGTTGGCAAAGGACCTTGCTTTGTTGTCATTTTCGTTTCCTTGCAAAGTCAGAACTGTGGGGGCTTGGTTATGAGCTCCAAGAGCAATCTTTTTTGAGTTTTGAACCTTGAGTAGGCTTTACCTACCTTGATCTTGAGTTCCCCTTACTTAAAGGTTGAGTCTTGGCTTGTTAAGGGGTTGTTTAAGTAACTAACATGAGCATGAACCTAAAAGTGGATAAAAATGCATGTTTGGGCGTTTCAATGGTTTAAAAACCAAACCTTTGGAGTTATATCTCGCGAAATGCAGAAACTGCATTTTGTCGCGAAATATCCGGATATGATATCCGGATATTGATATCCGGATATGGGGTCTTGAGGTATCCGTATATGGATATCCGGATATGCATATCCGGATATTGATATCTGGATATTGCCCCGACAAATATCCAGATATTCTGGGAATTTTGAGACAGTAGTTGTACTGTTCATACAGAATGGCATTCTGGGTTTGCGGACCCATGATTGGCTAATGTAGACTTCTGTAATAATTAATCTAAGTCAGAATCAAAGTGATTAAGGTTTATGGCTTTGTGAGAAGCCTAAAGACATGAAACGTAAAGGGAAGGCGTTGTCCTTGTGTCTTATGCTTGTAGAGTATGAATATTGATATGATTATTGGTCCAAACAGATTGTGATTGTGCTGTGTGTGGACTTTGAGCTTGTGTGGACTTGGCTTGGATTGATTGCTTAAGAGGTAAGCTTTCGTGTCCTCGGTTTAGCGATTGTCGGTTCCACCATACCCCATGGGGGGATGGTTTATATGCATGATGTTGTTTTCATGTATGGATTTGTTGAAATGCTATTGAGTTGTTATGTGTGAGTGCCTTTATGATATGCATGTGGTGTTCAACCTATACGGTAATCCTGAGTATGTGGGGACATACAAGATGGTGAGGCTGTGGGTGAGGTGAAAGCGGTGTTCCTTGTACTAACTGTAGGTAATAGACGTATTCCTGCATTTCTCTGGCCAGTAGAATAGTTTTAACACACATGGCATGATTATCTGCTGCACTGCATTGGTTTTGAAACTTATATTTTTAAAACTACTTTTAGACCTTATATTGCACATGTAAGTGAGCTTGAGGTGGATAAATCCTTGAGGATCCCTTGCCTTATTGAGATTTCTGTTTAGAGATCTCACCCCACGTTTGGGGCGCTTATTTCAGGTTCAGGTAACTCAGGGGTTGAGACCTCTAGCGGCAGGAGGCCGGAGCTTAGCTAATATATATGATTATGTTTGGATGCTGGATTATGTCTATTGCTTTATGCTTTATCTTCACTTTATGGATTACTGTAAGAACCCGCACCGTTAATTAAAGAATTAAATTAAATAATTTTGAGATAATTGATATAATTTCATAACTGACCTTAATAATTATGGTAAGTGATTAATAATGCTGCAAGTCGTTTTTCTGACGAAAAGTGCAGATACCGGTTCTGCCTCACGGTATAAATGTGTACCGATGAAGTATCCCAGAAAATTATGAAAAGTGTGTATATATTACTAGAATAATATATAGGACTAGTATAACAAGTTTTAAGTCAAAATAATGAGAACTGGTATCAGAACTAATACTGTCAGTGTTAAAACGCGTACCAAAAAAGTGTTGCGAAAAATTAAAATAAAAATATGAAAAATCTTAGAAAAATGGCTAGGCTCAAAATATGAAGTTTGAGATTAAAATGATAAGGGTAGCTATTAACGCTAATACTGTGCGATTAAACTTAAGCGCACCTATAAATACTAAGGGCACATGATCCTAGGTCAGAAAATCATAACTT